TATTTTTTATTCATTTTAAAAAAAAAAAAAAAAAAAGCCTCTAGAATATAGAAATAACTTTTACTGCACCTTCAGATCACCCAGCAAAAAAAGGGATATTCTTCAGTATTTTTGGCTTCCTTTCCAGTACAAATGTCAAAAGATTCTTAAATCAAGATACGGTTATTTGAGAAGCAAAATGAGATAAGATAAGCCAAGTTTCTGTGAAACTGATCGACACGATCTGACAGTTTATGTCAATGGGCTCATGAACAATTCAAAGGCAAAACAAGTGAAGCATAATTTTAAGCATAAACTCACTTTATTTATTTTTTTAAGTTTCTCAGAAAACAAGATTTCATATGTTCACTTTGCATCTTTGCAAGTAAATGTACCTTGATTTAAAGGATGTTTCATAATTTGTATTGGAAAACAAGTCAAAAACACCGAGGAAAATTCTCATTTTTAGCAATGAATGCAACATTTAATGCGGTGACTATGAATTTAAGGCTTTCTTCTCTGATTTAAGATCTTCTTAAGGCTTTAATTTGTGGAAATAAGACTTTCTAAGACCTTCCCAAGACCTGCTGAAGCATATTAACAAAACACAAATCTGTTGCTCTTTGAGAACGTGGCCTTGTAAGCCCTGAGCGGTGACAACTTCCTCTCAGCTTTCAGACGGCGCGGTCGAGAGTTTACCGAGCTAGAAGCAGAAGGTTAACAGCGCTCGTTGGTCAGGCCCTCTTCCTCCACCGAGGCGTATCTTATTGCTGTCTTTCCTCTGTGAGTCTGGGCACAAAGGCTGGTTGTGTTGCACGAGCTTTCTAAGGACATGCGTTCTGTGAAGCACTTTTATGGGTCAGCCCACACTACACAATAAGGCCCCGTGACCGTGTCTGCTCATCTACGCAATTTGAGGATCCCTCTCTGTCCAAATCCGCTGTTTTTTAAAAGCAACTTGGCGTGTGGCAGCCGGATTAACTGTTTTTGCCATTTTTGGGAACAGGATTGGCTTGTAAAACCACAACCTGGTCAGAACAGGTTTCATTCTCGACGTTGGCGCTTCATGGTCTCGTCATGCCTGCCAAGGATCAGTAAAAGAGACGCAACCAGAGAAGATAAAATCTGGACCTTCTTCGACTTCCCCAGTCATAAACTGGGATGCAAACACTGTCCTAAATAGATTTTGCAACCCGAGTTTCAAATTAAGCCGCTGATCTAATTATTTTCATAGCTACTGCATCTCTCCGATCTGAGAACAATGTAAGGACGCGTGTTATGAAACGCTTTACGCTACTGAAATATTCAGATATAATCTCTTAGGCTTAAATTGCTGACAATCTAGCTTTGCTTACAGCCACAAATGAGCTAATGGCTCTGACACCAAAACGAAAGCAAAGAGCAGCCTAATGGTCAGATCATGAGACGAATGTAAACTGACACTAGTGCAACTCAAAGACTCTTTAAAACACTTACTAATGTTCACTGCTAATAAATTAACATGGAGAAAAACGGTGGGGAAAAAACCCAATTCAGTTGTTTTGTATAGTCTCATACCCTTGACCAAATACAAAAACAAAAAAAAACTTAGGATTCATGTTTGATCCTTACCTATTGACCAATGAATTTCCATGACTTTCAGTCATTTGATTACTATATATTATAGTTTAAAAAATTACAGACCATGTTAAATAAAGTCACAAAATTTTAAAATATTTACAATATTTTCCACAATTAACCAAAAGAAAAATACATTTACCATATGTTTGAAATATTTGAAAAATTGTAAACAGTTTTCCCATGTAACCAAGCAAAAATGGAAAAGAAAATTCACTATATGTATTTAAAAACATTTTAAACATTTTCCCCATGTAACCCAAAGTTGTAACCAAACCACACAATACAGATAAATGACACATGATTTTTTTTTAAATATTAAAAGCATTTAAATTACCCCCACATATAACTGAGCGGAACATATAAATAAATATAATATAATATATATCACATTATTATACATTATGTACATTAGATATTTAAAATATATATATATATATATATATAAATAATGTAACCA